GAGTGTGGGATTCAACACGACAGAGAGACACCATGGACAATACGAACATTTCAAAATTAGGCAGTCCCAAGTGAGAAATTCGTCCCAAATTCAAAATTTTTATAAATCATCAAATCAGAGTGAGTTTGCTACAATATCTGTAGTAGATGAGAATTGTGTACGCTACAGTATCTGGTCTTTAAATACCGGAGTACCGGAAAGAAGTTACACAGCTGACAATATACCCTTTGACAACTCTGGACGAAATCTTCTACATTGTCTAGATTCAAGCAAGGGATGTTGCAGAATCGGTGATGGTGACGAGAAGACACTCAGTGTTGTAAAATTTGATAATTGGAGTAATTATCACAAATGCGGAGAAGGCAAGACCTCACAGTATCTCTTCTGTGCTCTTGTCAGTGAAGGCAGAGAGATCCTTGCAGGGAGTCCTTTTGAGAGAGATATTCTTCTGTTCGGTGTTGAAAATGGAGAGCTGATCGAATGTCTTTCTCCAAACACAAATGAGAACTGTTATCAAATGACAACCAATCGGCATGGAACCACAGCTGTCCTTCACTTTCACTCTCATGGATTACAAATATGGAGCATTGCAGAAAGAAAAGTGCTGTTCCGTATTACCACCACGACAAAGACGTCTGACATTGAATACATACTGTCAGCAGATGGTAGATACATGGTCGTAAACACACCTTGTTCAATTCATGCAAACGATGGTGAACGAGACATTAAGATGAATTCTGTGATAGAAATAATAAAAGGTGAGACTGGAAAACTATATATTTTTATTTTGATACATGTCAAAGTCAATATGAAAGTTTCCAAATGATTGTGTTGATAATGACTGGTAATATTTGTACATTTCAGATCCCGGGAAAATTACATTAACAATGGTAATCACAACAACAAACAATGCATCCCTCATACTTTGTTTAATGTCTTGTTATATAGTATGACATCAATTATTTATGTTTTCCAGAAGCGATATGTTATGTTATACCAAGCACTGAGAAAGTAAAAGGCTTCATCGGAGAAAACAACAAGATAGTTACATCAAACAATGAGTTATGGAACGTATGGTCAATTGAAAAAGGTATGCTTGGAATCGTAAATATATCTCGCATTGTATTGTCAAGAGAGTACAACATTCACATTAGTGGATACACGTCCCTTAACTTTGTGTACGTCTTTCATCTTAGATTGCAGAACGGTATATCGAAAGGTGTATATTGGAATCATTGATGACCATCAAAGAGCATCTCTGATGATTGATTTTTTGATATACGACCGTAATGAAAAATATAAATAGTTTTGCTTGTGTATCTTGGAATTATACTTGTTACACAGTTAACATTACTTCTTCGCTCTCCAGGACAACTAATTCAAAGCTGGAAGATGCCAACTGCAATGCACAATTGTGTGATTGTTGATGCAGAGAAGGGCAGCCATGTCCTTCTTTCGTCAGAGGATAGAGTAAAGAAATCAGTTATGTTATTAGACGTGGATCAAGGAGAAGTCATTACCAGCTTTACTTTTGACAACCGGGTACGTACCTGAGTGAATACCGATTTCAAAGAACTGTGACATGCACACTACCTTGTCCTCCAAATACAAATAAATTGCCGAATGAATGATTTTGAAGTTGCCATTTGTTCAATCACATTTCTCTATGGTTTTTTTAACCAGGAAACAATATTCCTGTTTACGATTATGCATGTTTATTTTGTTAATATTTGCTTAGCCAGCGGATGATCTTGTGGGACATGTCGAGCACGTACACAATTGACTATATGGTGCTTTTCTCTGGTAATGTGTAGTTTATAATATTTTTTTCTAATCATACGTTACGTGTACTGATTACAGATAGACAAATGTATACTGTCAGGTTCGGGACGAGTTGTGTCTGCAATAATTGATGGAGAGTTGGTGTCTCTTCGGCTTGTTGGTAAGAACATTCCGGTAAGTGTAGATAAAATAAATATCTGAATGAAATTTTGACTGCACTTTTCGTATCAGACATTGTAGTTCTGATGGGTTTTCTCAATGTTTATGGATATTTATTGTAATTATAAACATTCAAACATCACTATACTTTCGTATTCTACTTTTCTTTACCCAATAAAGGCATTCTAAGAGACGAACAACGCTGAAAACAGAAGATAACAAGGCGTGGCTACTCAATTCGACTGACGATTCAAGGTTCCGAGAATAAATGACTTACTTGGAATAGCGAAGAGATGCTTACCTTTATGGTTGACCTGTAATATGCAATATTGTGTTTCTCACATCTTAAAAAAAGAATTCTCCGTCTGTGAATAATCTATTCTCGGATTTGCTAAAATTTAAATTACTTAATTGAATACATGTTTCAAAATGCTCGTTTTAACTTTTTAATGTCAGACTATTCTGCATTGAATGTTTCATTATATAATCTAATTACAAGTAATTACATTAAACCTGCAGGTGTGGGACCATTATACTCACTGTACAAATTCAGTGTTGAAAACAAAATAGTTTACACGCGTTCTATACGTTACATGACGCTTTTATAAAGTAAACAATTGGAAATCATTATATCTCAAGAACTTAAATTAACAACAGCTAAAGTCATACCCCAATACAACATCTCAGAAAACACTCCACACCTCCAATACCGTGGAAGATTTTTTTAGCTGTTTCTTATTGTACAATGTATGTTGGTTATAATACTTGATTTACTGTTAACTCTGTTACTATTTAAAGTGTAGCTTGGCTCATTAAATTAATGCAAAGTGAACTTACATCATGAACTTCACATTTTACTTGTCATCGTTATTTTGACATTAAATTCTGTCCTTACTAATAATATATTCTTTTGTGCGCATTTTTTTAATGTGTTACGTGATGGAAACTAGATAATGTTTAATGCACAACAGTATTTATAAAAAAACACATATTACCGTGTGAAAAAAAGTGCATTTACTATGCAGCATGCGAAGAAGTTCGTAATATAGTATATTTGCTATGACTAGTGGAATAGGATTTATCGAGGGCATAAGACCATGTTTAATTCTACTTTGTACAATTCATAGTTTCTTTACACGAAATGCGATTTAACAGATACATTACAATAGGGAACATCAAAATACATTAATAGTGTAAACGTTGTAGCTAATAGTGTTACATATTTCATATTTATTATTCAACAACCATGGTCTTTATTGCGTATTTTCTTTTCAACAACACACGCAGCACTATCCGCATGGTGGTAAACATAAAACGGCCACATACAATGATTTAAAAGTACCTAACTATTTGTCACCACCGTGAGTGCAACTCAAAGGGTATAGCGCCACCAAGCGATCAATTCAAATATAATTACACGTCAATGTGTGGGTTTATTGATTTTTGTTTCGTCCAGGTTGTTGCCGCGGTGGTATTACAAGTCATTGGTCATGTGATCAAAATTACCCATATGACATCATTCACGTCTCACTTCGACGCTGTATAACACACACATACGGTGTAGAGCGTTTTCGTGCTTTTACGCTACCATACACAGACCGATTACGTTGCTGACATAAATAAGGTATGTAGTTTTGGGAAGCTGAGCAAATATGAAAGTTACATTGCCATTTACATTATTCCCAGGATTTCTTTGTAAGTCAGTGTCAGAGGGGATTTCCCGGGTTATTACCCACTATTAATTCGAATTGTAGTCATGCATGTCTCGCTGAGGCATGAGTCCGATAACTGTTTTGGTTTCAAAGCCAGCAAGTACAGTACAAATAGTGAACTAACTGGGATATTTATCAATATTCATTTTGTAATAAGCCATATAGACCCCATGTATGATAAAGTACGAGCGGACGTTTTAGATTAAATGACGACTAATTCACCCCTTTCAATGTGAACACGTACTGAAACTCCAGATTGACCCTTGGACCCTTGATTACAATAACAATAACAATAATATATATATATATTCCAGATCGTCACGGGCGTTTGGTCACCATGGAAACGGTGACAGATACAGTTCCAGTAAGGGGTATTTCTAAAAAGCGCAACAATCGGGTCGACAGTCAACGACGTAAACCAGACAAGACTGAGAATCAAAATTGGTAAAAATGCTAAAGATCATAAATATATTGTTTTAGTTCTTTTAAAGTAGGCATACTTTTTTCATTCCTGGGGGGGGGGGGGGACTTGCTAGTATCTTATAATAGTGATTGGCCGTATGTCCGTTTTATGGCATTTTTAGGCAACAAAAACAATGTGAAAAATTGCAAAATATGTGATGTAGTGTGGTGCGGTGCAATATATTGACATCATCGATGCACTTACATTAAAGTAGCGTGAAGGGAAATTTTTACTTCTTTCTTGATTTTTCAAAAATTGAAAAAAAACGGTTACTTTAGTCCTTGATACATCATCCCGGGTTTTCAAAAGATCGAAATTGCGAAATAACGTTGCTCAAATTAGTGTTTTAAAACGCTAGCAGAAAATACTACAGCTGCCGATTCGTGGATATTTGCATAATGTTTATCTTTGGGAGGGTTTAAATGATAACATCTTATCTGCATACTCTGTTGTTGACGATTCTGATATAACGGGTGATAAGCTTCCTGACGTAAACAATCCTTGTTTATCTAACGTCCATTGTCAGCATTATTTCCAGTCGAGACTTCGTCAGAGAAACATGGTCATACAGTACTCATTTCAGCCAACCTTCCACGTTATAATCGCGTTTCTTTCGCTCGCTCGCTCATTGAAAACACCGACCGCTCATCCAAACACTGATCACTGGCACATAAGTGGTCGAAATGGTGGTTTTGATAGTGAAGTCTGAACATACAACCGCTCTTCAAATGGAAATCACAAGTATGAGGTTTGACCTGGGCGCGACTTGCACTGATTACCGCTGGTGACTCATTCGATACCTTCCAATAACATGACAATTACATAATTAAAGCTTGGAAACGTCTCAGTTTCAGTCAAAGTCGCCATCTTTGTTTATATGAGACCCATATATCTCGCACATGCGCAGCGCGACGACTACCGCGCTTTAACTATTATTAGATTCTGAACGACACTTCAAATCTATAAGCTGTATGACACTTGTAGCGTGGAAGCAACTGAACTGGGACCTCTTGTTACGTATGTTGGGTGTTTGTTCTAGATGTAATATTTTATTTTAATGAGACAGTTACGTGAAAAAACCATAGGTAACTCCTTTTGACAAAGCAGAGAAACGAGGAAATGTTAATGATTTATTTCAAAAATAACGATACCAATACCACGTCGGTCCACAAGTAAGGTAAAATTTGACATCAAATTTTCAAAATTAAGTCACGATCAGTGAATGAGCTCGGTCTATACGTACCGTAAAACTATTCCCACTGAAAAATTATTTCGACTAAAAACTGCCACATGCCCTGAAAAAATCGAACAGAGCTTGACATGTATGAATAATTTATTGGGCTTCAAAAAAAAACCGTGTAAAATTTAGTTATTCACACGGGGCTGAAAATAATCGACCCTACTCGGTTTACTTTATTTCACAACTTGCAAAAAAACTGATTCGCCGTTGACTCTAATGTATCTCAGGCCATTTCTTTTCTCTTTGAACAGAGGTCAAATCCCATCCGTTTGTCAAAATATACCGATGTTTTTCAGTGAATAATTTTGAAGCCTGTCACAGCACAAACAACTATGTGAATCGACACCACGAACAGCTCTAGCTCTGTTGTAGTTTTGCGATGTAAAATAAAATACATATTATACAATAATAATACTTAATTATTTGGGGTTTCAGCCCACAAATTACGGGACATGATCCCCATGAATTATGGTCAATGCTTGTCCTCTCCCGGACGTCGGGATCGACGCCCGTCCTAAACTCAGTATGAAGAAACCAACGGGGATCGATATTCCAAACAAATTATTGGGACACGGTCGACAGACTTTCCAAACAATCAAAATCATCAACGAAAGACGATATTTTTCTAGATATTTACAAACATACTGTCATGACAAACATAGGTAAATTTAACAAATACACAAAGGTGTACTATATTAGGTTTTATTTTAGGCTATTTTCTTTCATTCAGCCCACGCA